AGGGTTCTGCGCAGTATCTTAGCTGTTCCTAGCACTGCAGTCTTCTGGACAGAGAGCTCTGGTGTTATTCCTGGGATCTGCTGGAGCCACTCTTCCAGCTTAGGAGTCACAACCCCAAGTGCTCCTACCATCACTGGGACCACTTTGGCCTTTACTTTCCACATCCTCTCGAGTTCCTCCTTTAGGCCCTGGTACTTTTCCAGCTTCTCATACTCCTTTTTTCTGATGTTGCTGTTACTTGGCACCACTACATCTATCGCCACTGCTGTCTTCTGGTTCTTGTCTACTAACACAATGTCTGCTTGATTGGCCAGTACCTGCCTGTCCATCTGGATCTGGAAGCTCCACAGGATCTTAGCCCTGTTATTCTCCACGACCTTCTGTGGAATCTCCCATCTAGGCTTGGGGGGGTCTAGCCCATACACTGTGCAGATGTTCCTGTACACAATGCCAGCTGCTTGGTTGTTCCGTTCAATATATGCTGTTTCTGCCTGCATCTTACACCCTGCCACTATGTGTTGGACTGTCTCTGAGGCCTCTCTGCACAGTCTGCACCTTGGGTCCTGTCGAGTGTGGTAGACCCCTGCTTCTATGGATCTGGTGTTAGTGCCTGTTCTTGTGCTGCTATGATCAGTGCCTCAGTGCTGTCATTTAGTCCAGCCCTTTCTGGTCACTGATAGGATCTTTCCATGGCACGTCCTCTGCTTGAACCTCCTCCCATGTCTGCTGCTGCCTCAGGCATTCTCTTAGCAGTTCATCTTTGGGTGCCATCCTACTGATATACTCCTGGATGCTCTGGGTTTCATCCAGGACAGCGGCTTTGACACTCACCAGGTCCCGCCTGCCCTCTTTCCAGCTGGTATATAGTCTCTGGGTGTTGGACTTGGGATGGAAACCTCTGTATATTGTGAGGAGCTTCCAGGTCGGCAGTCTCCATGTCCTCCTTTGGCTAGTTCGCTATACCAGTATCTTGTCCATGTATGGTTTGTTCAAGTAGCCCACTTATTGTCAGATTGTCCTGATTCCCCAACATCTGGTGCAGACCTTGTTAATCTGGGCAACGTCCAAGCAGGCATGACTCGCTTAGTTCAGAGGGTCCTCCAGTCAGAATAAGCCAGCACCCAGGCTACATCTATCAGAAGCAAGTAGAAAAACACTTTATTTCTTTAAGTTTTCCCAAATTGTTGTAAAGTAATCTTCTGAAATAAGGTGTCTTTCAGATGTGTTGGAATACATTTCTCATACCCCAGCCATTCAACAGATCTGAAGAATATCAGATGGTAAAAGTTGTCATAACACAATATTAGACCGTCTCCCCATGTTTTCCTACATGTTAAACCTACCACATCGTCTCACTACTTCTAATAATAGATTATATTTCCTCTACCAAACATCTCCTTCCCAAATGGTATAATCAGGTCTCTTTCAATCAACCTGACTTCTGTGATGTCATGGATACATCTGTGCAAAAGTGGTTTGCCATTGCTTCTTCCAGGATGATTCTTTTACTTCCTGATATAATCTACAGCACCAGTATTCCCTGGTGATCTTCTATCCAGGCACTCACTAGGCCAGACCCTGCTTAGATTCTAGGTCCAGACAAATTTGGCTACGACAATATTTCTCAACTTCAGCTACTTCAAGACGCTGGCTGGGAAATCCTAGAAGCTGAAGTCCTCACATCTTAAAGTAGCTGAGGTTGAGAAATACTGGGCTAGGGGCTACTACCTGTTGTTCAGTTGGTATCAACTGAAACATCTGTGAATAAAATATGTTATCATTGAACTTACTGTATGATTCTGACTATAAGATTCTACATCTGGCTCTACATCTTGCAAATAATTTCTGGAATCATTCTTTACAGCATTTACTGTGAGATATTTTGGATGCTACCCATCAGCATTTTTCTTCATGCCTTATTACTAAACTTAATTTAAAATCTGGCAAATTGGGCAACATTTGGAGAATGCCATGCAGGATGCCAATTATCTCAACATCTGTGATAGATAATGGTCAGGTCATTCTTCCTGGCTCTCTGCTTGATATCTTTATCCTAAAGGAAGGGACCCTGCTAGAATCTGAGTTTACAGTACATATTTTGAACTACTAAGTAGTTCAAAATATGTACTGTACTAACTGCTTATTTTCCTGCATACTGTGTTACTCAAGCATAAATGAACAAAAGGAAGCAAAATCTAAACACGATTATCTCATGCAGCAGTTACTGGTGAGTTAACAGTCAGGTCCCTATTCTAGGGGTTCAGCACATTCCAAAGAGAATCACTGCTGTTTAGTCACCCTGCAAAGCAGGTGAGCACTTTCTTCACACCCTTGGATCATGCCCCCCCTCCCCATCCAACTACTGTAAAAATTGGTGATATAAAATGCTTGCTCTACCATGGCTGCAGAAATCACATTATGCCGTACAAATGGAAAATAAAATAAAATTTATCTTCAACAAAGCATTATTGCATACGACGATAAAATGGTGTTATTTTAAAGAATAGGATGCAGTCACTAAAATTCCCTTTTCAATGTTTTCTAGACATTGCCAAAGAAAGAAAATAATACATCCTACCTATTGAACCAAATTGGCCAGCTTGATCTCCAAGCTTGACCTTTCCCCATTTATTTCATCTTGCTGATCTGCATCACAGACAAGCCAGATCTATTCACCATATTGTTAGGGGCAAAAAGCCTTGGACCTTCCTATGAGTAGTACCTATATCTTATCTAGAGTTCCGCTGTACAGGTGAAGAAAAACATGGTAACATTTTTTTTTTTACCTTCTTTCTAGCCCAGGATCTGTAACCCTGTTTCTCCTCCCCAAATTGGTATAGATTGATGACTAGGAAGTTAAGCCAAAATTTGTAGGCCATCATTCCCAGAATTTACCAAGTTGCTTTGCAAAAGAATAGATGTAACAAACGGGCTAGATCCTGGCTGTCCTCCAGGCTTCTCCATTTGATTCCAGCTTCGTGGCAGCTCCTAATGCCTTAATTGCATCTTACCTCCAAGCATCTTTCAAGACAAAGTTCACAGCAGGCAGAGATCAATTCATTATCATCCTTATAGAAATTCACCTCACATAAGGCTTCTCCTACAAGGCAGAATGCTAAAAACAGCCATACTTACAGCGATCCATCACAATACTTTATCATGTCAGCTTGCAAGAATTCAATTATCCAAATTTCCATACTGTGGTCAGGGTACTTCCCCTCTGCTAATACGCATTTGACATCATAAGGAAACACAGGCAGAATATGCGAATGGGTTCATTCCAGCACTTGCTATCTTGCTAAAACATGTTTCATGTTTTTTTCTATTAAGGGAAGAGGACACAACTCTTATTAGCTCTTTCAATGCTAACACCCTGGGGATTTTTAAAACCTAGTCCTGTCAACTGCTTCTTTATAATCAAGGACAAACTAACTTTGATTATAAAACCAAGTCTTTATGTTACCATAATTTGTTCTGCTGAAAGGTGGAAGAACATTACATCTAATGTTATTCCACAGATTCTATCCAATCATTTGAATGCAGAATAGGTTTCTTTTTCAAATTAATGTGCTTTATAAGAAATCATCCTTTCCTGTCATGCAGAGCTCAGACATGAAGCTGTTCAAGCACTCTCCATTCATATTATGGATCATGCAGAGTGCTCAGCAGAAGGACTGTTCAAAGGTCAAAATACAATCTAATTTAATGAAGTCATTAGTCCAGGGTTAAAGTCAGGTGTAATGATGGCCTTATTTTCTAACATTTGTATTATTTTAATTGAACACTCTTTCAGGCCTGTTCCTCCCAGCTTCTACATCCCTTGATCCAAGACACAATGCTATCATGAGTCTTCTTTCCACCTTTCTCACCCCAAGAAGTATATGCATATAAGTGTTTCATTCTGTTGGGGAACACACCTTCTTAGGATAACATGTCTTAGAGTCGAAAGCAGCTATTCAGTGAATAGCAGCAGCAACGTAAGATGTTAGTTTAAAATAGTTTAAACTTAAGGTCTTGTAAGTTAATCTTCTTGGCAATATTACAAATATTCAGATATTTTTACCTAACATATGTTAGGTAATAACATATGATTTTCTCATTTATTCACTTTTGTTTAAGAACTTTTTGGTTAATGGATCCATTGTTATGGTTTTCATTAATAGAGAAAGTGTTGACTTGCTATACAGCTGGCTGAATGCCAAGGGTCCTGTAATAAAATCAAACACTGATTGGTTATAACTTTTAGTTAAGTACAGCTATGTAATGATATTACATAAGATTTTTTTCATGGCAAGGAAAAGTAACAGAATGCACCAATTTTCCTCTGTACATAAAAACTTTATTTTTTATAGATAGTAATTTTATTAAAGATTACAATTTACAATAAAAACTAATACAAACTAAAAAAAGAATAAAAAGAAAAAATGAAGTTGCAGAAAAGAAAAAAAATAGAAAAGAAAAAATAAGAATACAGTAAAGAAAAAAAAATATATAATGA